ACAAAAAACAGTAGTTTACTTGGGAGATCATTTTTTTTCTGATTTTGTTCTTTCAGCAAATATTTATGGAGCCTAATACATTCTAGGCTCTGTTGGGTGTGATAGGAAAACAACAATAAAGAACCGTTGTCTGACTCGAGGAATTAATTATTCAGCCTAATGAATTGCCTATGACTGGAATGGTCAACCAGTTAATGTAGTTCATTCAGGAAGACATGGAATTAGGGGCCAGTAGTTTGTGCTCAAGTTGAAAGGGTGTAGCAGGTGGTTTATTACCCTGGGACTGCTCTGAATGATGACCTGTCACCCTTGCTACACATTCTCCCTGACCAAGTCTATGTGTGTTGTCCTATGCTGATGGACCCAGAAAATGACCCAGAGTTAGTGGTCTCCAAATGAGGTACATGCAGACAGGGGTGTGTAAGGCAGTCAATGGGGGCTTAGGCTAAAAATAACTTCTACCTCTTTATCCTTTCAAAAAGGAAAAAAACACACTCTATCATATATAATCTAGATTATGACTAGCACATCTCTTCTTCTGGTCATAGGATATGTATGGACCTTGAGACATCCTGAATGAAACATAGGATCTCCACCCCACCTCATTCTTCAGCCGTCAGTATATTGTGACTTGTGGTTGTTTTCCACTCTTAAGGAGATTAGATAAAGAAAAAAATAGACTTTTTATGTATAAACAAGGGTAAGCAATTGTGTTAAAAGTGTGGGGACCACTGTCTCTTAAGCTCCAGCCTAGATGCATGCTAGTCATTCCATCCATGATCCATTTCCATTTTCTTCTTGATAAAACAGCAAGCCTGGATCTTTGTGGCCATTATTAAGCATGTGGATAAGGTAAGCCTTTAGGCCATGCAGAATGGCTCCTCTGGTTATTTTTATCCTCTATCACCTTTGGAACAATTGGTTGGGAATAACACTGAGTTCTAGAAATTGTTTTGGTCTTTAAGTGGTCTCTTAGGGCTGCTATGGACTGAATTGTACCCCCCCACACTCATGTTGAAACCCTAATTCCCAATGTGAAGGTTAGATCAGGTCATGAGGGTAGGGCCCTTATCCAACAGGACTGTGGCCTTAGAAGAGAAAGATCTCTCCCTCTCTCTCTCTCTTTAACTGTCTGCAAGCCAGGAAGAGAGTCTTCACCAGAACCTGTCCATGCCAACACTCTGACTTCAGACTTCCAGACTCTAGAACTGTGAGCAAGTCAATTTCTGTTGTGTAAGCCACAATCTGTGGTATTTTGTTACATCTGCCCAAGCTAATTAAGACAAAGGCTTATCCTTTGTAGTTAACTGTTGTGAAATCCTGATTATTAGTGCAGTAAAACAGAATGATCAAGAGCACAGACTGGGCTACACTCAGGTTCAAATCTCATGTGATTTGGGGCAAGTTCCTTCATCTCCAGGACTCAATTTCCTCAATTACAAAGTAGGGATAATAGGGGCACCTGGGTGGCTCAGTCAGTTAGGCGTCTGACTCTTGATTTCCATTCAGGTCAAGATCTCAGGGTCAAGGGATCAAGCCCCACGTCAGGCTCCATGCTGGGTGTGGAACCTGCCCAAGATTCTCTCTCTCCTTCTGTCCCTCCTCCCCTTCCCATGCTCTTTTTCTCTCTCAAAACATAAAATAAAAATAAAAATAAAATAGGGATAACAATTCCTTAAAATTTGTTTGAGGTATGATCATACAGGGATACTTATTTGGTACCTGGCTTATAATACAGACCTTATATAATAACAATGATGCTTTAATGATTTATTGATCTCATAAAATTGTGATGGTTTAGGTAGGTAGGAAAAATCTTTTCCCTCCGATCTTTGCAAGTGGGGCAGAATAAGGTTATATTCAGCATTTCCCCATTTTTTCTTGCTTTTAAACTTGTAATTAAGAATCTTCATTTGTAGTTAAGCTCCTACTTGAATCAAATAAATTCACATCTTCCCATTATAAAAAAATGTATAATCAGCATTTTTCTATATGCCAATCATATGGCTTAATAACAAGTTGTAGGTAACTTCAAAAGACAACAGAACTTGCATCTAGTATTGCTAAATAGGCACAAACTACATTTTATAAAGATGTGTTTCAGTAGATGTCCTGTAATTTGTCATCACGTCTATAAAACCCCTACATAGTATATCATCTTGGTTGCATTTGTACATATCTTTTGTTGGATGGTGTATTTATTTGTGGGAGCTACCATAACAAAATACCACCCACTGAGTGGTGTAAGCAACAGCAATTTCCTTTCCTTTTTTTTTTTTCACAGTTCTGAAGGCCAGAAGTCCAAGATCAAGGTGTCATCAAGTTTGGCTTCTCCTGAGGCTTCTCTCTTTGATTCACAGATGGCCACCTTTTTGCTGTGTTCCCACATGTTTTCCTTCTGTGTGCACACATTTCTGGTGTCCCTTTGTGGGTCCAAATTCCCTTTTGCTATGAGGACACCAGTCTGACTAACCCTAAGAACTTCAGTTTAAGTTCATCTTTTTAAAGATCCTATTTCCAAACACAGTCACATTTGAGGTAGTGGGGGTTAACACTTCAACACAAGAATTTTGAGGGAGAAGGGGACACAATTCAGCCTGCATGTGGTAAACCAGGAAATTCTACTCCTCAAAACTGGGATTTCGGAGGTGCTTTATGGCAGGTGGGAGTTCCATACCTGTTTACATTTTTTTCAAGCTAAGATTATGGCCATGCTCTAAGACAAAGAAACTGAAATGTTCTGATTCCTCTTTGTGTTTCTGTAAGAGATAAACCAGAATTTCTCAAAAACTTTGGTTCTCCTGGAAATACTCCTTTGGATTTCTTGTTTGTGAGAGCATTTGACTGCATTCTTACCTATATGACACTCTAATTTTTACAAAATGTCCTCAGTTATCCCTGGCTTGGCCCCTTATTTGACAGCTTCTCACCTAACTCTCAATGCAGACTGCTAGCTGTAGCACACCAGCGGGGCATATACTTGCAACCCATGATGCCTTTTAAGATCTGTATCAGGAGAGCCCATCACCAAGGCCTGCTGCCTCCTGGATATGCAGCTCATCCATTATTCCAGGTCGTGGGCCCCTGAAACTGAATGCAGAATTGTTCAGAACATTTGCTTCAAAGACAAAGATCCATAGTTTACATCTCATGCCATTTGGGTCTATGGCTTCAAGAAGGTAATGTGCTCTGAATGAGCTCAAGTTCTCCCCTTGACTACAGCTGCACATGGTAGCGCCACGCACAGGCAGCAACCTTCAGCTGTGTTTAAGGGATGTTTGGTGAAGTGGCTCTGTGAATAAGCTTGTATTTAATGAAGAATATTCTCATCAATATTTCCTAACAGCATTCTCTCCTCTGGGTCCCATTGGAGGAGTTTCTCTCTTTCCAGGGCATTCTCCTGATGCTTATTGTACTCTGTTAGAAACTGAATCTTGTAAAAAAAAAAAAAAAAAATATATATATATATATATATATATATATATATATATATATATATATATATATATTTCTTATCTTCAAATAGCTGAAAAGCTTTTGACCAGACTTGTGGTGAACCACTCGTGTATGTAAAGGACTTCATAATACCAATTGTATGCACTTTAAAAATGCTTAATGCCATCTTATACTCCTTTCTGTCATATCGTTTTTCTTATTTTAGTTTATTTTATCTTGCTATATCATGTCTCCCTTTGCAAAGTGCTTTTCATCATAACTTCTGGGTAGGAATTTTGATCTTTTCCCAATTACGATGGATGTGTATATGGTCATGTGTGTATGTGCAGGGAAAGAGTTAAATGCTCCCTCTTTTTTTCTAGTGAGATGGAGTTTTTATAACAATTTATATCCAGTATTGCCCTTCAAAGGAAGCAAATCCAATGGGGACCACTGAAAAGACTGCAGCCTCTCTGTGATTCTGAGGACATAGTTGAAACGTGGTGCTTCCAATGCCTCAGCCATTTCTAGGAACAGCAGTAAATGCTCTCTTGCCTTTTCTCCTTAAAGGACAACTACCCCTTAGGGGAAGCACCAGGTGTTGTGTAGGAAGGACGCAATCATGTACTGACATCTTCAGGAGAAGAAAAGCCAGCGATACCATCTTAGACACTTAACTCGGAACACGCGTGCTAAACTAAGCCCCTGCGGAAAGCTGAGAACCCACTCAAGGTATCCAGACCACCCCCTGGAAGGACGTGGGTAGGGGGTGGCTCGAGGAATGTTTCCAGGAGAGTTCATTGGTAAACTTGATCCACTCGAGAAGCGCATTTCAGGAAGCAGGGCCAGTACCAGGGACAGCACCAAGACCCGCGCCCCCGTGGGGAGAGGCAGCAGCACCATGGACAGCACCAACGCGAGCGCCCGGGGCGGAGAGGCGGGGAGAGGCGACCTCATCAGCTGATGCCTTACGTAGGCTGGATCCCCACTTTGAGAAGGCAGGTCTGGATGGGCGCGCTGGCGTTTGCGCTCCAAAGCCGTGGCCCCAGACGGGGTGGGGCGGGGCCTGGGGGGATAGCAGAAGGCAGATCCCAGAAAACAGGTCCCCGCTGGGCTTCCCTGGCACGGAGTTAAGGCTGCAGCCTGCTGCTTGGAGAGAAGGGCGGGTAGCGAGGCGACGCGCGCAGCGAGAGTACTGCTCTGACGCACCAGCACCCCCTCCCGCACCCACACGCTCCAGGGTCGCCCAGCTGCCCCCCGACTTGGGAGATGCTCAGCTCTGGGCGACCAGACAGCTGTCTCTGCCGAGGTGAAAAGCCTGGGCATGTGACAGCTTAGGAGGGCCCTGGCTGCGAGACGCAGCCCAGCACCCTCCTCTCTGCCACACCATCTCCCACGTATGCTCACTGGCAGGAGGTTGGGGCCAGTTTCATAGACAATCCCCAGAAACCCCGCCGCCAGCCAGAGGTTGCAAACATCCAGAGTGGCTCTGCGCGCAGTGGCCACCGTCCATCTTCCTGAACGCCCCTTCTGCACTCACTCTGGGCCGGTCTCCTGACCCAACGATGGATTCGCCACTGAACCTAACCTACTTTTCCCTCTCCACCCCCGCCCCTTTGGAGACCAACCGCAGCAGCCTTGACGCCGACGACCCGCGCCCCAGCCCGCCCCTCCTCTCTGTCTTCGGTGTGCTTGTTCTGACCTTGCTGGGCTTTCTGGTGGCTGCGACGTTCTCCTGGAACCTCCTGGTGCTGGCGACCATTCTCCGCGTGCGCACCTTCCACCGAGTTCCGCACAACTTAGTGGCGTCCATGGCCATCTCGGATGTGCTCGTGGCCGCTCTGGTCATGCCACTGAGCCTGGTTCATGAGCTGTCCGGCCGCCGTTGGCAGCTGGGCCGACGGCTCTGCCAGCTGTGGATCGCGTGCGACGTGCTCTGCTGCACAGCCAGCATCTGGAATGTGACGGCCATCGCGCTGGACCGCTACTGGTCCATCACCCGCCACCTGGAATACACGCTCCGCGCCCGCAAGCGCGTCTCCAATGTTATGATAGTGCTCACCTGGGCGCTCTCCGCGGTGATCTCCCTGGCACCGCTGCTCTTCGGCTGGGGGGAGACGTACTCTGAGGGCAGCGAGGAGTGCCAGGTGAGCCGCGAGCCCTCCTACACCGTGTTCTCCACAGTGGGCGCCTTCTACCTGCCGCTCTGCGTGGTGCTCTTCGTGTACTGGAAGATCTACAAGGCCGCCAAGTTCCGTGTGGGCTCCAGGAAGACCAACAGCGTCTCACCCTTATCGGAGGCCGTGGAGGTGGGTGTTCTAGAGATCCTTGTAAATACTTCACTTGCATTCGTTCAGGCTTTATCTCCCGCACACTGACTCCAAAGTTTGTAGAAAGTGAATTTCGTTTTCTTTTGGGGGGAGGGGAGGGGACAAAGGGGAAGGGATAGGCTGGGGGAAAGCATAAGAGACTGACTTTGTGTCAACACGCTCAGCTTCACAGAGCTAATAATGGCCTTTACCATCTCTGATGGATTATTTCCATATATAAAATGAGGGGTTTGGACTACATACTTCCACAGGGTCCCCATTTGGCTCTAAAATTCTGTGACTCTATAACACCCTTTAGAAGGTCTGAAGGAGTCAGTGTCTGGGGCTACTGGATAAACTTGCTGCTTGCTGCACCTAGAGTGGGGTGATCAAGGAGGAGGGAAGGGACAGATGGTAACGTGACTTGGCAGAAAGATTGCTCAACATCAGGCAAAGCAGATTAATGTTTTAGCCCAGTCTATTTTTTTCTTTGCAAATTAAAGCAACTAATTTTGCAAAAACATAGTATCTCCTGGATTACTGCCTGCTGTTCTGCAGCATCCTCCTCCCCTGATGCAAGATTATCAAGATGTTTACCTATTTCAGAGCCTGCTTTTGTTATCTACTTCCACGGCCTGTGGTGCTGCTCTCTGGGTCTATCCCCAGCCCCATCAGGCCTTTTGTATGCAGGAGAGGATCATTTGTTTGCCTTCCCAAACAAGCTACGGGAGGAAATTAAAAATCTAAGGCAGACAATTCCCCAGCTCTTTACAAGTGGCATTTTCTGTAGGGCTCTTTTCTTGCCCTCTCTTCACCACGCTTTCCTGTCTTGGTAACTCTTAATAATCCAACCCTATGACTGCAGATTCAGGAAATATATGACAACTGAATCCAATGGATATGGAGATTGCTCCCCCCCCCCAACAACTCTCATTGCCAAGGTGATCCCTTGAGCCTAATTCATACATTTAAGTTAGGTCAGAAATCTATGCAGCCCCATTTTCTGTTATTGGCTCTGGGACAACATAAATTCCATTAAGCATATTAAACACACACTATGTATGGGCTTGGTGCAAGGAGTAAAGAACGATAAAGACATCATCTTTCCCATGAAGAGCTCCCTCTAGTGAGGGAGATAGACACCTACTGTGAGTGCTGTAATATGGTTGTGTTTTCCAGATCAATAGCTAACTCCAACAATAACCAGTCAATCAAGCTCAGAGGGACCAGAGGTGTAGGTAAGGGAGGAGAGAGTGCATCATTCTAGAAGAAGGAAAAGGGGGTCAGAGGCTACCTGTCCTTTTATCTAGAACAGTGGCCTCAACCAGGGGTGATTTGTCCCCTCCAGGGACCATTTGGAATGTCTGGGGACATTATTAGTAAAATTTGGGGGAGAGTACTAATGACATCTAGCATGTAGAGGCCAGGGACGCTGCTAAACATTGTAGAGTGCACTGGACAGCCCCCACAACAAAAAAAATATTCAGAACAAAATGACAGAAGTGCCAGATTTGGGAAAACCTGATCTATTAGGTTTCTGAACTGAACAAGGAGTGCTGACGGCTAAGAGCACTCGCAGCACCAAACTGCCTGGAACTTGCACATGTGTGAGAATCCACCCCAACTCTGGGCCAGGAACAAGAGCACCCGCCGCCTTCAATGGCCCTCCTTATGTGGACCCTCTTCTGCCAGGATGCTTATCCAGTTAAATGGTTTACAATCAATACCAGATACAGCTTGAAAAAGAAAAGCAGTCACAGTTTTGTCTTGTGGAACTTACCGCAAAGTGATGCAGCCTTTCACTGCTCTGCTCTGGAGACAGCACTAGCAAGCATTTTGACATTGTTCTGCTTTTATACATTTTTTTTGCACTGTTTAATTTTCTCTTTCTCTCTCTCTCTCTCTGCCACATAACTTAAGAAAATGGGTCCCTTGGCTTTGCAAGATGTCCAAATGATCCAGGGTTCCACTGTTACTGTGAAGGGTGAATTACAAACCAGGTCTCCTGATTTTTCCCTGGTAGCAGGTGCCGAAGTTTCTAAATACAGTTCTCCCACCACCTAGCTGTGTTACCTAGGGAAACACAACACTTCTTCCTTACTTCTTTGTCTGCTGCGTTTTCTTCAAATACATACTGAGAGCTTAACCTCTGTCAGACACTGAGATGGGAGCTGGCAACACAAGAGATGGGCCTTGCCCTTGGCAAAGGATGATGAAACCACTACTAAAGATCTGGCATAAAAAGATAATGCTGAATTTATTGCTTACTAGTCTGCAGCAGAGCTGTGCTGGCCAGGCACAATCGCTCTGAGCAGAGAACAATGCTAATCTTAAATGGCATTTTTGGGAAGCATGGAGATCAGACACTGGGGACTTTGAGAGGGGGAGGTGGGTTGACATATGTATGAGTCTTTTTACGTCTTTATTTTTTATTTTATTTAAATTCAATTAATTAACATACACTGTATTATTAGTTTCAGAGATAGAATTTAGTGATTCATCAGTTACATATATCACCCAGTGCTCATCATATCACGCGACCTCCTTAATGTCCATCCCCCAGTTACCCCATCCTGCCCCACCCACCTCCCCTCCAACAACCCTCAGTTTGTTCCCTAGAGTTAAGAGTCTCTTATGGTTTGTCTCCCTCTCTGATTTCATCTTATTTTATCTTTCCCTCCCTTCCCCTATGATCCTCTGTTTTATTTCTTAAATTCCACATATGAGTGAAATCATATGATAATTGTCTTTCTCTGATTGACTTATTTTGCTTAGCATAATACCCTCTAGTTCCATCCACGTCATTGCAAATGTTAAAACTTCATTTTTTGATGGCTGAGTAATATTGCTTTGTTTATATATACCATTCTTCTTTATCCATTCATCTGTTAATGGACATCTGGGCTCTTTCCATAGTTCGACTACTATGGACATTGCTGCTATAAACATCAGAGTGCAGGTGCCCCTTTGAATTACTACGTTTGTATCCTTTGCATAAATACCTAATAGTGCAATTGCTGCATTGTAGGGTAGCTCTATTTTTAACTTTTTGAAGAACCTCTATGCTGTTTTCCAGAGTGGCTGCACCAGTTTGCATTTCCACCAATAATGTTAAGAGGGTTCCCCTTTCTCCGCATCCCACCAACATCTGTCATTTCCTGACTTGTTAATTTTAGCCATTCTGACTGGTATAAGGTGGTATCTCATGGTAGTTTTGATTTGTATTTCCCTGATGCTGAGTGATGTTGAGCATTTTCTCATGTGTCTGTTGGTCATTTGTATGTCTTCTTCAGAGAGATGTCTATTCATGTCTTCTGCCCATTTCTCAGCTGGATTTTTTGTTTTTGGGGTGTTGAGTTCTTTATAGATTTTGGATACTAGCCTTTTATCTGATAAGACATTTGCAAATATTTTCTCCCATTCTATAGGTTGTCTTTTAGTTTTGTCAACTTGTTTCCTTTGTTGTGCAAAGCTTTTTATCTTGATGAAGTCCCAGTAGTTCATTTTTGCTTCTGTTTCTCTTGCCTTTGGAGATGTGTCTAGCAAGACGTTGCTGTGGCTGAGGTCGAAGAGGTTGCTGCCTCTCTTCTTCTCTAGGATTTTGATGGATTCCTGTCTCACATTTGGGTCTTTCATCCATTTTGAGTTCATTTCCATGTATGGTGTAAGAAAATGGTCCAGTTTTCATCCTTCTGTATGTGTCCATCCAAAATTCCTAACATCATTTGTCGAAGAGACTGTCTTTTTTCCATTGGATATTCTTTCCTGCTTTGTTGAAGATTTGTTGAACATAGAGCTGAGGATCCATTTCAGGGTTCTCTATTCTGTTCCACTGATCTATGTGTCTGTTTTTGTGCCAATACCATACTGTCTTGATGATGACAGCTTTGTAATAGAGCTTGAAGTCCAGAATTGTGATGCCTCCAGTTTTGGTTTTCTTTTACAACATTCCTTTTTCTATTCAGGGTCTCTGGTTCCATACAAATTTTAGGATTATTTGTTCCAGCTTTGTGAATTTCGATAGGGATTGCAATGAATGTATAGATTGCTCTGGGTAGCATAGACATTTTAACAATATTTGTTTTTTTAATCCATGAGCATGGAATGTTTTTCCATTTCTTCATGTCATCTTTGATTTCTTTCATCAGTGTTTTCTAGTTTTCAGAGTACAGATCCTTTGCCTCTTTGGTTAGGTTTATTCCTAGGTATCTTATGGTTTTTGGTGCAATTGTAAATGGGATCAATTCCTTAATTTCTCTTTCTTCTATTTCAGTGTATAGAAATGCAACTGGTTTCTGTGCATTGATTTTATATCCTGCCACTTTGCTGAATTCCTGTATGAGTTCTAGCAATTTTGGGGTGGAGTCTTTTGGGTTTTCCACATGGAGTATTATGTCATCTGTGAAGAGTGAAAGTTTGAGTTCTTCTTTGCTGATTTGGATGCCTTTTATTTCTTCTTGTTGTCTGAGGCTAGGACTTCCAATACTGTGTTGAACAGCAGTGGTGAGAGTGGACATCCCTTCGTGTTCCTGACCTCAGGGGAAAAGCTCTCAGTTTTTCCCCATTGAGAATGATATTCTCTGTGGGTTTTTTGTATATGGCTTTTATGATATTGAGGTATGTTCCCTCTATCCCTACACTGCAGAGAGTTTTAATCAAGAAAGGATGCTGTATTTTGTCAAATGCTTTTTCTGCATCTATTGAGAGGATCATATGGTTCTTATCCTTTCTTTTATTAATGTGGTGTATCACGTTTATTGATTTGCAGATGTTGAACCACCCCTGCATTCCAGGAATAAATCCCACTTGGTCATGGTGAATAATACTTTTAATGTACTGTTTGATCTTATTAGCTAGTATCTTGGTGAGAATTTTTGCATCTATGTTCATGAGGGATATTGGTCTTTAATTCTCCTTTTTGGTGGGGTCTTTGGTTTGGGGATCAAGGTAATGCTGGCCTCACAGAATAAGTTTGGATGTTTTCGTTCCACTTCTATTTT